GGGGCGGTGCCGCCGCGGGCCCACCAGCCAATTGCGGTCGCCCGGAGGACTACCGGGCGATTTCAAGGTAGGTTGCGCTGTGTGGAGATGACGTCATGGCCTCACTCTTAAAGGGGACGCAGGTGAAATCAAGGGGTCGCGGGGCGCGATGTCACCTGTCCGGGAAGACGTCTTCCCGACCGCCAGCACCTCCGACCACGCTCCTTCGCTCCTTCGCGATCGCGCAGTCCCCGAGGAGGCTGGCGCTGGCTGTTAAACCCGAAGCATGTATTGCGCACGGAGGAAGGTCCTTTCTCCTGTAACAATTACAATTTAGTGGTAACTTGGTAGCTAGCGTTTATCCAAAACCTAATCCGGTGCTTGCGGAGCACTTCTACCCACTTTGCATGATGATATTCAATCGGGCAATAACTACCAGATAATTGCATGTTGTTCCCATTTTACAGGTGTGGACACGGAGGAACCTAGCCAAGTTTATAGAGCTAGCAACCGCTGGGATTCGCACGTGGGCAGCTTCTAGCCGCCCTGGAGTCAAAGGCTGTAACAGTCCTGAATTCGCTTACCAAACTGAGCCATAGTGATTTGCCTCTATATCTGCCTTTCCCACTAGACTGTGACATAAATTGGATAAGATTGGAGACCACCATACAGAAAAGTGCAGAAACCCTAAGTGTGCATTCAGCGTATTGTTACCATGTGGACGCACATGTAACCATCACTGAGCTTAAGCAGCAGCATGACCAGCACTTCAGCGGCCACCAGCAGTCAGTGCCCCGTTTCTCCTCCTAGGCGGCCACCCTCCTGAATTTAACACCACACGTTCGTTTGGCCAATTTCAGAACTTAGTGCAAATGGAGTCGTAGGCATGTATTCACTTGTATCTGGTGTCTATGCATTCATAAAATGGCTCAGTGTACAGCCGTTTAAGTTTATACAGGAGTTCTATATAATCTGATATGAAACACTATCAGGACATATGGTTAAATCAAAGCAAAGAAAGCCGGACAAAGTGTCCAGAATATTGTATGTGTGAATGGCTCTGAAGAGCAGATGCAACACCTTCAAGACTCTAATATGAGAAAGGGACCATTGGTAGATGTGTGTGAATGAGGGGAGAATTCTTTTTGCAAAATAAACTTTTGTACTGAATTGTTTTTAACTTGTTTATGTATATATTGCTTTTGTTTCTCATTTTTATTGTGCCAAAATACACATAACATAATTTATCTTAACCATGTTAAGTATACAGTTCAGTGGTATTAAAAACATTCATAATATTGTGTTATCATCACCACCGTCCATCTCCAGAACTCTTTCATCTTGTAAAACTGAAACTCTACACCCATTAAACACTAATTCCCCACTTCCCACTCTCCCCCAGCCCCCGGCAACCACTGTTGTACTTTCTGTTTCTATGAATTAACTAAGTACGTCGAGCCTCTATACTGTTTTCCATGGCGACAGCACCACTAACAATGCACTAGGGTTCAAGTTTCTCTACATCCTCACCAACACTTGCTTTTTTGTTTGTTTGTTTTTGTATATTTTTAAAAAATAGTAGCCATCCTAATGAGTATGAGATATCTGCTATCTCAGCATAGTTTTGCTTTGTATTTTTCTAATGATTTGTGATATTGAGCATCTTTTCATGTGCCTTATGGTCCATTTGTATGTCTTCTTTGTGTTTCCGGGAAACCCCCGGTTGGCCTCTGGCTGCCTGTCGCTGTGTCCAACAAAGGCAGGGCTGAATCATGTTATGCGTTTATCCCGAAGGCTAGCCAACCAAGAAGACAGGGTGCTTACAAGCATCAAATCCTGGTGCAGGTGCAGGATTGTAAAGGGGAAGGGGCTAGGGTGAGGCAGCCCTGGAGGTCCGCAGACTCAGCTATTGTCTTTAGTCATCAGGCGATGAGAGGATGTTGATGAGATGATGTTTTGACTTCAGGTGAGTCTGACCCTGCTTATCGGTTCTGCTTGCTGGATTCACAGCTGAGTCACCTCCTCAATCGCTTCGAACAGGCCTTGAAAAGGAAAATTAAGAAAAACTTAACCTTCTATTCACATATGAGAAACTTAACCCTCTATTCACATAAGTATATGTGTTCTAAGATTTAAAATAATTTGATTACTTTTCAGATTAATTCAGGTGCTGTAGCTATCAAATTA